GAAAAAAGGATGATTATTTTGTTATCGATGGTATTAAGAAAGGATGAACAGGCCTGGAGAGCGTGCCTGTTGCGGGATAAAATATCCTCACGCCCTATCGATTTTTTTTAGTTTTCAGTGGACCAGATCTTGACCAGCTGAACATTTGAGGTTTGTCGTGTTCATGTTCACATGTACAAACTGCCCTACTGAGGCCTGCTGTGTCATGGACATACTCAACTAAACTAACTGCCCTTATGAGGCCTGCTGTGTCATGGACATACTCAACTAAACAAACTACCCTAATGAGGCCTGCTGTGTCATGGACATACTCAACTAAACTAACTGCCCTTATGAGACCATCTGCGTTCCGAACTGGACATATTCACATATGATATTTATTGTTCTGAACTGGGGATATTTGGAAAGACGTATCGCTCTAATGAAGTCGCCTATTCTCAGCCGCATACTTAATGCCTTATGAGTTTGATGTGTCTTGCTGTAGAGTGTAGTCACCTATAACGGCTTAAATTGTGTTATTCAATTCATTGAAGGAAGTGGCCTTTTGTTTTCTCATTGGCTCCTAATGTTTCAGTTGACTAATACATGTTAGTTGATCGACCCTCCCGTGCGGAGATAATCAAGGTGAGTACGTACGCTCTGGGCATGTAGCGGTACGTCTACTCTGTCAAGAGTTTGTCCTAACTAAGCACGAGCTATCAAACTACTGCTGCTTCATCTATAACAGGCTGCGAAGGCGATTTCTTGTTGCAGGCTCCTGATGCTTTGAATTGTTTGATGAGATGTTTGAATATTTTCAGTTAATGTCCTTCAATCGGGCGATTCATGGTTCCCAAGTCGATGTGTGTGGTATTTTATGTAGGCCAGCTGCTGGCGTCATTTTTGTATTACTTGCTCATGGTACTAGGATTATAGCTTAGTTGCCTATAGGGTAATAATCTTAGTTGCCTTTGGTACAATGATTGTATCTTAGTTGCCTATGGTACTATGATTATATCTTAGTTGCCTATGATGCTATGATTATATCTTATTCGGATTTGGTACAATGCTTGTATCTTAGTTGCCTAAGGTACTATAAACATATCCCTTTGTTAATTTGGTCATTTTTCAATCGATAGTTCTTTTTTTGTTTTAGTTTTCTCTTGTATTTCGCTGAATCAAAGGAAACAGTTGTGATATCTGGAATGTGATAACGAAAGACTGTCTCGGCAATGAGCGATGTCATATTCAACGAACCTGACACATTCAGCGAACCTGACATCCTGTTTTAACGCCACCGACCTGCCAGTCGTACCTCTTGACGACGACAACGTCACCACACCTGTGACCGACGTGTATCGGCACGGTACCGTCTGGGTGCCGTATCTTTCGATAGTCTTCCTTCTGCTCATCCTTTTGATTCTAGTGTTCTCAATGTATCGATACTGGGAGCGGGTGAAGAAGAGGCAGAGGGCGATACTCGATTACCTTGAAGTGGATATCGATTTGAACCGGAAGAGAATTTGTAGTATCGCCTGGATGCCCGCCAAGATTCGTTTTCAAGAAGGCTTCGACGGTTCTCCGTGCGATCATTTCAACCACAACGAACTCCCGGCCCTTCACGGGCCTCCATTACAGAAAAACCTATGCTCGTGTCATTGGGCTTACCGAGCGCCTTCTCCCATGCCCTTTCGGGCAATAACTACCAGACATCAAGATTGGGCGTGTCGGTTTGGTAGACTCCATGAGCTGGACGATTATCGTAATCGATTACATTTTTATTCGGATAAGCTTCATAATGACGCGATATCTTCCCGTTCGTTAACTTCCGAGATGTATGATGAACTAGTTTCGGGTCGAGAAGTCGGACAACCGCTCCAACGAGACGGGCCGAGTGGTTCTAAAAATGTCAGCGAAAGGAGCTTGAGGCGTATAAAACGAGCTTCCAGGCGGCTAAAATGTATTGAACATAACGATTGTAATGAATGGTGTGAAACCCGTGGCATGTGCGTGGAAAGCGGTATCAAAGGCGTGTCATTAAAACATAATAAGCCATCGGGCAAGTTGAATTTTAAGACCAGAGTAGAAGTTAATAAGATTACATCCGCCGATGAACAGATTGGCAGTATTGACACGAGTGCAAAGCCCGAAATTAACTGTAGGCGGCACGAGACAATGAGCAGTTGTATTGTGCCTGGCTTACCTCAGACAATCAATCCTGGCGTAGCTCAGACAATCAATCCTGGCGTAGCTCAGACAATCAAACATGCCGTACCTCAGACAGTCAATCCTGGCGTAGCTCAGACAGTCAATCCTGGCGTAGCTCAGACAATCAATCCTGGCGTAGCTCAGACAATCAATCCTGGCGTAGCTCATACTATCCTACCTGTCGAGGAAAAGATCCAACGGTGGTCCGATAGACCTCTGCCCTCGCCGGAGCTGTGTGATCACCCCCAAGACAGGCAGCAGGAAGTCGTGAAAATAACTCCTGATCTCCACAGCGCGTCCATCTCGCAGCCCAGCAATGGAATCGTGATCCCAAAACGTGCGAGTGTAACCAAGCCACCCGGCCGGGGAGTCACTTCAGATCTTCACTCGACCAGTCGACAGGATGGGATCGGATCTTCGGGCCACAAACCCTGCCACGACAGGTACACAAACTGTAGGCATGTTGTACCGGTACAGAGACAGGTGTACACGATCGAGCCTGGTACGAACTTAGAATTTTCTTACCGAGGGTCAAGCGAAGGGGGTTCAAATCCCGTCAGTGGGCAGGCTGACCCCTATTTGGACGTAGACCATACTGAGGTCTAGAAATAAAGAATTGCCAGTAGTATTGCTGGTACAAACATTCCACTGACAACGATATTCCAAAGGAAATGGATTTTGTGCACTATGTTTTTTTAAAATCTATAAATAAGTATAGCACGTTGTATTACTCAAGTCTGAAATGAACTTTGATCATTGTTTACAAGAGGTCATTGGGTCGAGTGAGAGTGCTCACAGAGAGAAACATTACATCATTATGTGTGCATGAGAGAGAGAGAGAGAAATATACATACACACATGTATGAATGAGTGAGAGAGAGAGAGAGAGAGAGATGGTATAGTGAGAGAAAGAGAGACCGTGAAAAGTAGAGAAAGGGAGAGAGAGAGAGAGAGATGCTGACAAAGAGAAACATTACACACACGTGTGCATGGGAGACAGAAGATAATAGAGAGACAGTGAAAAGGAGAGAGAAAGAGACTGTAAGGGGTCCATTGACCTCTATGACTGTTTCGTTCTATGATCACTTCTTCATTCAGTAAAAGTTACCAGTACAATGAAATCAATTTGTCGTGTCTATATTGACAATAGTATTGTCTACATACCTCATCATTTCATATACTAACTCATCACCTCCTAGCTTACCTCATCATTTCATATACTAACTCATCACCTCCTAACTTACCTCATCATTTCATATACTAACGCATCACCTCCTAGCTTACCTCATCATTTCATATACTAACGCATCACCTCCTAACTTACCTCATCATTTCATATACTAACGCATCACCTCCTAACTTACCTCATCATTTCATATACTAACGCATCACCTCCTAACTTACCTCATCATTTCATATACTAACGCATCACCTCCTAACTTACCTCATCATTTCATATACTAACGCATCACCTCCTAACTTACCTCATCATTTCATATACTAACGCATCACCTCCTAACTTACCTCATCATTTCATATACTAACGCATCACCTCCTAACTTACCTCATCATTTCATATACTAACGCATCACCTCCTAACTTACCTCATCATTTCATATACTAACGCATCACCTCCTAACTTACCTCATCATTTCATATACTAACGCATCACCTCCTAACTTACCTCATCATTTCATATACTAACGCATCATCTCCTAACTTACCTCATCATTTCATATACTAACGCATCACCTCCTAACTTACCTCATCATTTCATATACTAACTCATCACCTCCTAACTTACCTCATCATTTCATATACTAACGCATCGCCTCCTAACTTACCTCATCATTTCATATACTAACTCATTACCTCCTAACTTACCTCATCATTTCATATACTAAAGCATCACCATCTAACTTACCTCTTCACATACCTAACTTCAACACCTCTTTACTCTTATCCAACCATGTCCTTCACGTACGTCATCACCCCCAACTTAACTCACATTTGACTCCCACATTAATCACCTCCACCTCATCTAATTACCTCCTAACTTGTCTAATCACGTAATACCTCATTTAATCACCCTAATCGTACAATGGCCTCAGATCTTCCAATCCCCTCAAAACATACAATTTTATCAGATCTTACGATTGCCTCAGATCTTCCAATACCCTCAGTTCTTCCAATCCCATCAGTTCTTCTGATACCCGCAGATCATCCATTACCATCAGATCTTCCAATCGCCTCAGATCTTCCAATCGCCTCAGATCTTCCAATTCCCTCATAACATCCAATTTTATCAGATCTTACAATTACCTCAGATCTTCCAATCCCATTAGATCTTCCAATCAATCAGATCTTCCAATCCCATCAGATCTTACAATACCCTCAGATCTTACAATACCCTCAGATCTACCAATACCCTCAGATCTACCAATACCCTCAGATCTTCCAATCGCCTCAGATCTTCCAATACCCTCAGATTATCCAATCCCCTCAGATCTTACAATACCCTCAGATCTTACAATACCCTCAGATCATCAAATCCCCTAAGATCTTACAATACCCTCAGATCTTACAATAGCCTCAGATCTTACAATACCCTCAGATCTTCCAATAGCCTCAGATCTTCCAATCGCCTCAGATCTTACAATCCCTTTACCGCAATAAATCTGTACACTTTATCCAATTTAAAAGGAAATTTCCACACTTTAAAAAATTGATTCATTTAATTTAAAAAAAGAAGGTGTAAGCCATCAACATTAAAGAAAAGTTTTTATTTCTTGTAAATGCAAGGGACAAAAAATGTGAAGCTAAGTACTGTACAGGAAGAATTTCAAAGCTGTTGATCGTATGAACTATATCACAGGTGAAAGGTTGAGATTGGCCGATGGTGATTACGGTGGTGTGGTAGTGATGTATGTGGCGGTGATTGTTGGTTTTCCCGGTTGGTGGTGACAAGTTTGTTGTTGGTGGTGACAGTTTGTTGTTGGTGGTTGTTGCCGTGGTGGCGGCGATGACTGATTGGTTGAGTGGGAATGTCCACGCAGCTCAATGTTTCAATCTTACTCAAACCATCCACATACACACACACACACACACACAACGCCCGACACGCGCATGGCAAAGGTCTTTTTGAAATCACTCCGAGATAATGGCTCGTTTTGCTCTGTAGACAAGAATCTGACGTAGTGACTTCATCCGTTTGCACAGAGCTCGTCAAAAACAATGGTTTGGTTTTAAAGACGAGGCGATTGACGAGTCCGTACGGTTGGTTCTTGCGTCGTACCTGATCAAAATCGAACCCTAAACCCTATTCCAAGAGCAACGTCAACTTCAATCCATGTGATCTATCATCTTGTCGTACAATAAATCAAACGCATAGCGTAGCTCAGTAAAGAAATACAATACAACCTTCTGACTCAACGCTCAGGCATCTACTGGCAAACTACATAGCGCGCACTCAGAGACAGTCTAGACACTACGTCACGGATAGCTTCACGTCACGGATACGTCACAAGCCTCGCGGCGCCAAGAACGTTCATCAAGGAAACACCCAAGGTGCACCGCGCACGATAAAACACAACATTCGGTGCCCACAAATGGCGTCAGTATCCATGCTTGACAGCGGTATTTCAACCAACCTGCCTAGTAAGTATCCGTTAGTGGACTCAGGGGTGACATGGAGGGTGATGAACCCCCACCCTCCTTGTTCAATTCTTAGATACGCCCATGCAGGCATCTATGTAGAAACAGAATGTCCTAACAATATTCACCATGACCACAGACATGGCCGACATAGTTTTTTTAAAGCTTAGCTGTTGGTTAAATCTAAAGGTTTTGTTGTGTCGCGTTTAGTTCAGGAGTTCTTGAGCTTTTTCGCAGCGCCCCACCGCCATCTCGATTTCAAAACATATTTCCGGCACCCCACCTCCCAAACAATGATACAATTATATTTACATTGCCTATCCAACTGATTTAATGGGTCTTCCCTGGACCCCCCCCCCCCTTTTTTTTTTTTTATCAACCCGTGCCTAAGGTTAAGAAGCCATGGTTTCAGCGTGTTTGACATTGGTCAGACATTGTTTTGTGTCATTGGATCGGATTTCTATTTTCAAATCTTTGTCTTAGCTGTTGGTTATATCTAAATGGTGGTGCATTAGCGTGCCTCGCGTCATTGTCCGCCATTGTTTACTTCCGCCTGTGTCTGGGAAATCCAAGTTAGTACAGTTCACTTCAGTCTTATCTTTAGTTTGGATTCCTGTGGAAACCATTTTATCAGAGAGAGAGAGAGAGAGAGTTTTATTAGGGCTGGCTTTGCTATTTGGGCAACTAGCCCTGTGTGGGCCCCGAGGTTCAAGGGTCACTGTACCCGGGGCTAAAGCGGCCCTTTAATATGATCGTCAGACAAGCAGTGTTGTTGATCATAAATTAACAAGTTTACAAATAGATAGATGATTATTAACATGGATACATGCTACAGTTAACTCCATGCTTCGTAGTCTTAGCGTGGCTCCACTCTCTATGACCGGACCATAGCTAAGGTCGTGGCATCAATGAATGTGTATGCCTGTGCTGTCATTCACGTCGCCTCTTAGCTTGGTTGTGCCCAGCAATAGCTCTTTCAGAATAGAACTAATTTTGTATGCCTCTTTCAGAATACAACTTATTTTGTTTGTCATTTTCAGAATAAAACTTATTTTGTATGCTAGTTTCAGAATACAACTTATTTTGTATGTCACTTTCAGAATACAACATATTTTATATAGCAATTTCAGCATACTTATTTTGACTTAGTAATAAATTCGTTTAAATGGAAATAAAAGAAATTCCTTAAAGATGCATCGTTCAGTTCATCTTTGATGATCAGGAATCTTTTAGTTGAGTTGGTCAACTTTGATGAACTCAATTGTTACCATTCTGTCAGCGTCTATCTGTCAAGGCGAATGTGATTGGCCGTGATGAATGGGGGATGCTATCAATAATTGATTCAACTCAAATTACATGTACGCCCACAATCTTCGTTTTCATATGTTGCTTTAGTCCAACAAAAAGGTGACTCGGCTCATCTTATGCTGTTGTGTTGTGATTTTATTTTTAATGGCAGAGAAATGACAAATTGTTTTTCGTTATGGCATTTATTTATGATTAGTCATGTGATTAGAACAACACTGTCTACTTCCAGAATTATTTTTAAAAAAATTTGTATAAAAGAATATGGAACAAAAATGTGGGCAGCGGATCTATTTAATCCCTACTCTGACGTTTGATCAATGGCGACCGGATTTGTTGATTCTCCTGTCCAACCATCAAACTAGTGCGGCACACTGCCCCCACCCCATCCCACGACATCTAGTTCAGGGGTCATCAAACTACGGCCTGCGGGCTGAATTCGGCCCAGCCGAGGGTCCTTATCCAGGCCCACCAGGCTGCCGCATATTTACCCGGGTATCTCTTTTAATTTAACCGAAAATTGTTCTCACTAGGGATGAAACAAGCCCCAAAAACAAGGTTTTCGCATGAATCCTTTTTAAAATGTAATATCGAGCCACGGGGAGGGGGGGAGGGGCTGAAAATAGGGGAAACCATATATCCAAGTAGAGCTCTTTACAAGAATCACAATTAGTGCCCCTTTATCCCCCCCCCCCAAATGCTCGCAACAGCATTTTTTTCCCACGCGCCAGAACTGAATGAATATTCCAATAACCTAACACTCGCTTTAACATGGCAGATTGCTTACATTAATTCTATCAGGAAAAGCACAAGAAAATCTTTCGCGCCAAACGCAGTTGCGAGAACTGTTTTCAAGGATCTCATTTAGCGCAGTTGTCGGGAATTATTGAAAAATAAGGGCGGGGGGGGGGGGATTTTGGTGGTTGGGGCTGGACATTTTACAGAATGGGTGTTCATCGGCTGCGGGGGGGGGGGGGGGGGGGATTTTGGTGATTAGGGCTGAACATTTTACAGAATGTGTTGTCATCGGCTGCGAGTCTATGTGCCAAGTTTCAGCTGGATAGGTTGGCGGAAAGTGGGTCAATTAGCCTTCCGAAGATTTTGCCCGTCAGCCAGCCTGTCATTCACGACAAAAGCGAAGTTAATATAAATGATTTTAAAAGCAGGTTGATGCTTCCCATTAAATTGCAAACCAGTTTTGATTGATTTAAATTATTGATTGTATCATCTATAGCAGGCCTGCACAACGTACGGCCCGCGGGCCACATGAGGCCCGTGAACACCCACTTTGCGGCCCGCGAAGTAACGAAATATACTTTATTCTTATTATTTACTTAATAGCTTTCCCCCCTGTCCTATTTTGTTTTGGCCCGCACAAGTTTTTCATCCTGCGTTACGGCCCACCTTACATTTTGAGTTGTGCAGGCCTGATCTATAGTATAAGTAGAGTTTCTTTTTCCTGCGTGTCAATTCCCCCACTTCAAATAATTCTTTTATAGTATTTACAAACTATAGTCCAGTCCCGAAAATTGTCTTTTGCGAGAGAGTGACGGACGGGTGGGGGGGGGTAACAAAGTTTGAGGACCCCTTATATAGGTGTTGTCAACTGTAAACAATTTTTTGTATTGATCCCTAGGGCCGATATAATTTTGTTTGTTTATGAATCACACAAGTAGCTGACGTTGGATTAAACAGAGTCGGCTATGGTCGGTTTTAGCTTGCTTGTCAGGCCCCAATACAAATCAAACCTGTGGGCGAAAGGGTAGAGTTGGGGATCTATTCAGTCGTCAGTAGAGTTGGGGTTCTATTCAATCGTCAGTAGAGTTGGGGTTCTATTCAGTAGACAGTAGAGTTGGGGTTCTATTCAGTCGACAGTAGAGTTGGGGTTCAATGTGGGCGTCCATGGGTTTGAGATCGGTGTTTCGGTTCGATTCCCAATTCTAATTTAGACCCATAAAATCGATCATTTTAATTGGACTTTCACTGTAAGCCTTGTATTGAAACCCACACAAGATCTCTTGTAATCATACACACATGTATGTCTTGTTGTTTTCACACCCACATTTATGTCTTGTATTCAGACCCACATGTCTTGTATTCAGAGCCACACAATATGTCTTGTATTCAGAGCCACACAATATGTCTTGTATTGATACCCACACAGTATGTCTGGTATTGATACCCACATAATATGTCTCGTATTCAGACCCACACAATATGTCTTGTATTCAGATCCACACAATATGTCTTGTTTTCAGACCCATACACGTACTTCTTGTACTCAGACCCACACAATATGTCTTGCACTGAGACCCACATATGTCTTGTATTCAGACCCACACACTATGTCTTGACCTATGTTTCAAGTGTATGACATAATGGCACAATTCTTGTAGTGACGAAAACTTCCTTATCAAAGGTGGCCATTGTCTCCTTTACATTGTATTTAAATCTTTTCATCCCACAATTGATGTCAGATCAATTCTGTTTGTGCTATAGATCAATTGTGTGTTTTATATCATTTGTGTGTTTGTGTGGATGTGGGCACTTTGTGTGTTTGTGGGGCTGTGGGCTCTTTGTGTGTTTGTGGGGCTGTGGGCACTTTGTGTGTTTGTGTGGCTGTGGGCACTTTGTGTGTTTGTGGGGCTGTGGGCACTTTGTGTGTTTGTGGGGCTGTGGGCACTTTGTGTTTTTGTGTGGCTGTGGGCACTTCGTGTGTTTGTGTGGCTGTGGGCACTTTGTGTGTTTGTGTGGCTGTGGGCACTTTGTGTGTTTGTGGGGCTGTGGGCACTTTGTGTTTTTGTGTGGCTGTGGGCACTTTGTGTGTTTGTGTGGCTGTGGGCACTTTGTGTGTTTGTGTGGCTGTGGGCACTTTGTGTTTTTGTGTGGCTGTGGGCACTTCGTGTGTTTGTGGGGCTGTGGGCACTTTGTGTGTGTGGCTGTGGGCACTTTGTGGTTGGGGAGTGAGGGGGGGGGGGCTGTGCTTGTAAATTTGTTTGGAATCGTGAGTCATCCATGAAAAAACTGTCTCCGACTCCACATAATCATTTTATTTCGACTCCGGGTATCGACTATTTGATTCAGTGCCGCACACGCTCCAAAAACGAAGTAAATGTCAATGCAGGTCTATGTAATGTCCATAGTCAGTTAAAGGCCACACAAGTTGGGTGTTTTTTTTTATACCATCTTGTATGCATTAGATCGAAAATTATTCATATTGATTTCCTGCAGAAATTCTCTAATGAGCTCGCGCCCTGAACGGGGAGCATTCTTTGCCTTGGAAATGATGGACAGAAAGGAACGACAGAAGAGCGAGGTTTGTGCAACTGGTTTGTTATAAGGAGTGTGTTGT